CGCCCACTAAATACTCCTCTCCCCTCCATATTCCGGCCTTGCAAGGTACAATACCAAACACCTAGGCATATATGCATAGATCACCAGAACAATTTACAAAACTGTTATTATTATTATTTTGTTATGCAAATGGACTGTTCGATTTGTGAGGCTTTTGTCTAACCTCTTAGAAATATTACCAAAGAACCAGAAATGTTTCAACTTTGTATGCGTGTCCGTACCTTCCCCTCTTTCCATAAAGTTACAGTTTAAATCATTTCTCATGGTCAGATCGAGCGTCGTAAGACCTTGAATTTAGTATGAAATGTCGTACGATTCAGGCTTGTTTTGTAGACATTTTAAAAAATATATATTTTTTCACTTATGATACATATTTATCTGTTTTGTTTTTTAAGCTGCAAAAATTACTAAATATGTTTTTAATAAATACACTAATGTTTATTTTCATTACTTTTTTTTAATGATAATTTTAATTCTATTTTATTAATTTATTTTTATTCTATTATTTATATTTTCTTCCTTCACTATGATATTTTATTTTGTTCTTATTTAGCTTTATATTATTTTGAATTTACCTTATTTATTTATTTTTTTAAATTTGTAAATATGGTGTGAATGTGCTCTCAGAACTCTATTATAAATGTCCTGTATTGAGACAGATTGTAATATTTATCAATAAACAAATAATAATCCAATAAATATAATAAAACGTGAAATTTCAAAATTTTCATTAAAAAAGTGTTTGTATTGATACTAAACTTTTTCAATTTTTGGAACAGAACTTTAAAGTGGTACGAAATAAGACATCATTCAGACCTGCAGTTATTAGTTAAACCCTTTTTGAAAGCATATATATTTGTCAATATTTCTTTCTTCTACTTCGGTGCATAATATTTAGTTTCAAATAATTTATTTTAAGCCACTTTGCACCAATTTTTAATTTAGTCAAATTAATGAATACATCTTATTACGACGTTTCGGCTTGTCGAGCCATTTTCAAGTCTGAAAGAATTTTTTTCAATTTTTTTTTTTTTTTTTTTTTAATTTCTTTATTGAGTATTATAACAATCTGTCTGTTCGACATTGGTTATAGTGAGGTAGGATGACATTCACACCATATGTACAAAAAAATAAAATAAATAGAACAAAATAATAATCAAAAGTATATACAATAGACAATAAAATAAAATAACCTAAAAAATAAGAAAATTAAAACTAAGGAAAAAAAAAAAAAATAACATGCATACCTATATACAATCAGGCGAGGGAACTCCAGGAGAACCCTGCGCTACTCTTCCAACCGCGTCACTGGTACTAAAGCCAGCGGAGATTGGTCGAGAGCACTTTAGCCAAGCAATTTACAATCATATCTGAAAACATTTGCATATTTCAAAATGTAAAGATTTTTTATACATAATTACCCACCATATACCTGTCCATTTCACTTCTTATGCGAATCACATGTGTCTACTCATAATAAAATGTATCAGTCTTGTCATGTCCACCTTAAACTATTTTATAACATCACTATTACATAATTCCTTTTTATTAAAAGTAATAAGATGTTGTAGTCATTAAGTTGACCAAATTAAAAGATGGTGTAAAGTGGCTTAAAATAAATAATTTGAAACATATATAACTGTTGTTGTTTTTTTCTTTCTATAATACTAGACTAACCATGTTTTTTTTTTGTTTTGTTTTTTCAATAAAACAAGATCATGAAAATCACAATAATGTAAAATTATTGAAGTGATTTTAAACTATAGATTATAGCTTTTATGGAACATTATTAAAAAAAAATCCGTGAAACATTTTAAAAAATAAAAAGTTTCAAAATAAAAGTCCTAAGGAACCTTTTACTAAACTGTAACTTCCACCGTTATTATTATCATATTTTGTTACTATAATATGAAACTATACCGTACTCATCCTAAATAATAGCGGTACGTTACGTCCTCTCATTTCGTAAATTATACTATTCACATGCCTGCATAATCAGGACAAGCTAACCTTGATATTATTTGTAAACATATGAAAATTTCCCCTTCCTCAATAATAAAAAACAACAAATGATAAATAAAAGACCAATCTTGATCACAGAGCAACAGAACATCCGCATCTGCTTAAAAAATAAAAGAAGCTAAAATGTGCCCTGCTTGAACCGGTTTCGAATATTGGGCACACTACTTGCTTCCTCCATCCAAAGTGTTACTTATTTCCTTGATTAAATACCGTGAGGAAATACTGATTCCGTTATTGATTTAGATGATTGTTACCGTGTAAATGGATTATTGCTTTGAGTATTATTACTATATCTTTGAATATAACAATGGTTCGTTCTATAATCATGGTTATAATTACATTAAGGAACTATCGGAAGTAATAAAGTGGTCCTTTAAATATGTTGGAGATTATGTTTTATGTTTTAGACCAAGGAATAAAATTAAAAATGATAACAATAAACTTTTTTTTTTATTTATGATATTTACAACTGTATTGCAAATAAAAATACATTCAGTAAATGTGAACACAAGAATATAATAACATGAAACCACTTGTTGAGAAACTACACACTGGTAGCATTCTAAAAATATATTTACAAAAGGAGAAAAGGAGATCTCGAGGCCATCTTCTTTTCAGACGCCTTGGAGGGTTGTCAGGGATCAAAAAGAAAGCAAGGTTAGAAACGAGAAGGTTTTGATGGTTCTGAAGTTTGTTATGGAAGGATAGGTATCTGGATTGGGCCAGGTCAGAAACATAAGGAACATTAAGGTCGTTGCGGATGATTTTATTTGTGACAAAGTAAGCAGCAGAGAGGATTTTACGAAGGATTTAGGATTGTAAGGATTGGATACGAGAGGAATTTAATGGCTTAGTGGAGCCCCAGAACTCAATTCCGTAAGTCAACATAGGTTGTAGTCAAGTACATGAGTCTTTTGTAATTAACTGGAAGCTTAGAGCGTTTGTCTAGTAAGTGCTGGAGTAGTCGGAAACGTCGAGCGGTTTCCCGTCGTTTCAGTCTGGTATGAGGATTCCAAGTTAGACGTTTGTCTAAGTTGAGTCCAAGGTATCAGATTTGTTCAACAGGGATAATTGGGATATTATAATAGGATACTGTTTGACAGGAGGAAATAGGTTTACGACGAACGGTAAAGGTGATTTTATGGGATTTATTAGAATTTATTTTAATCCTCCAGTTTTGACACCATTCTTCAAGGTTTGTGATGTGTGATTGAAGAGTTTGGGATGCAATTGTTGGGTCATTATTAACTTATAGGACACATGTATCATCGGCATACGTGGTAATCACAGTGTTAAGATGGGTTGGGATAACAGCTGTATAAACTGTGCAAAGGATAGGACCTAGAATACTACCTTGAAGAACACCAGCGAACTGGTAAAAAAGGGATGAATAAGCATTATTATGATTTGACAATAATCTAAAGTATAAAATAGGAAAAAAATATGAAGCTGGATTAAGTAAAATTAATTTGTAAATATGTTGATGTACAAGATTTATTGATAAACGAAGATAGTTTTGTACTTCTCTGAACGATAATTCTCTTGTATTTCATATGTATCCACTTTGTTGCAATTTTGGAGCACCTTCTCGTATCAACAAAATTGGCAAAATGTTCGGCCCACCTCAATTTCAGTTGTGTTTCTTTCGTTAGACTTTTAAATTTAATCCTAGATTGTACTTTACTGCTGCTGATGCGGTCTTTTCTCTTGATTACATATCACACTTCTTGAAAATTACATTTGGGTCCTCGCAAAATTTTGATAATTGTTTTCTGTCAGAGACTATGAGATCTATATACAATTGCTGGGTATACACAGGTTTCCAATACCTTTTCCTTTAACCCTGAAGGTAAATTACTTGTAAAATAATTTTTACATCCTATGTTAATTCTTTTATTTATTTCATCTTTTCTGTCTTTGAATGAGATGGGTTGTCCTAAATAAATATATTGCTCGACAAAACTGATTCATAAGTTGCTAACTTTTACTTCGCCTTTCTGTGAATTTGTCAATATCTTTGTTTTATCGATATTAATATTCAAACCCAAGAATTCACACTGATCAAGGAGTTCGCAGACCATTTATTTCGTATCAGTTAAAGAATAGGCACCTATATCATCCGCATACCTCAAATTCGATAACTTATACTCCTTTATTGTTATGCCCTTTCCTTTCCAGTTTTGCTTATTAAATACATAATTTAGTAGACAATTAAATAAAATTGGTGATAGTACACAACTCTGTTTGATGCCTCTTCGAATTAAAAATGTTCTATTATTCATGGGAATATATGGATGGCCATGACTATATAAGCCCTAGTGTTTTCACAAATATATATATATTAATATATTTATTTATATACTATTGATGCCATGCTCTTGTAATGTCTGCCATAGTTTATCGTGATAAACGGAGTCAAACGCTTTTCTAAAATTTATAAATATCAAGCAAAGCGGTACTTATTACTCTTTATTTTTCTCTAGAATTTGATATAGATAATTATGAACTTTGATATTGAATACAACGATGCAGATTAGAAGATAAGAATGATGAATTGTACTATGCCTTGTAAAAGTTAAAAACTTCTGAGTAAGAGATTTTGCAAAAATTGAGTTTAAATTTATTCAAATATAGATGAAGGTGATGAAATGAAAAAAATCTGAAAGTTATTGTAAAATGCCAAAGCAAATACTTAAAGCTCTCAGATTCAAATAAATAATTAAATAGTCAAGGTTTGGCAATTGAATCATAGAAGAATGATCTCATAGTATAATATAGGATAAATATAAATTTATATAAATACGTCACTATAAAAAGTATACCATATCTTGAAATTGAAAACAGTAACACTTCACTTTTCAATATTTATAGGTGCAGAATTGTTTTTTTAATTTTATTTTAAATATACAATTATAGAGTAATGCAAATGATATGCGACGAGAAAATTACTCCTATTAATTATATTTTGTTTTTTTCAGACATACAGCCCAATGCGTCAACGGTTGCAACAACACTAGCTCAAGGTAAATATAAACTCTTTTTTTATTACATATAATATTAAGCTATTAATATCGTAATGCTCCATTGTAGAAACACTATTATCCATTTAATGTTACGACCTATGAAGAAGTGGTATTAAATGTTTCCTAAACGATTTCACTCACCTTTAGTTGTTGTTTTTTTATTGAATTGATAAAGTAGAACGCATACCTAAATGTACCATTTTTTATTGTATTATTATTATTTATTTTTTTCTGTTGGCATAACAGACCGTGTAGATCTTTATATGCCTTAAGAAGCCTGCTCCTTCTCTGTCTGTTCTAGGCTGTTTCTTTCCAACTATCTACACGCAGCATTTATTGCATTTTTGTTGATTGTATCTATTTATATGAATTTTGGCCTTCCACGATGTCTTTTGTCTTCTATTTGAGGCATTCATTACTATGAAGAGGCTTCCAGATGGATTGATTGAGCTACATGCCCCGCTCATTTTAATTTCCTTGCCTTCATATCATGGTATATTGATTGACCAGTCTTTCTTCTCCGTGTGTTAGTACTCTGAATCCCAGACCACTACGGTTATCGTGCGGAGGATTTTTCTTTCAACACATTTCCAGAGCACTGGTTAGAGTCCAGGACTCACAGCCTTATATTAGAACTGGCTTTATCGTAGCATTGTACACCCTTAATGTGAAATGTCTAGAGATTTTTCGGGATTTCAATACCTTTGAAAGGTTGCGCTGGTAAGTTTAAGTTTACGCTAGTTATACGCTGGTCTGTTTCTTACCGTTGGTCATTTATTGAGGTTATTGTGGAGTCGAGGTATTTTAATTTTTTAAGTCTCGGGAATAATTTTCCTTTATACAGATCCTGTGATTAGGATGGAATTTTCGGCTTATGATATATTTTGTTTTGTCTTCATTTACTTGTAGACTGATCTGTTTTGCCTCTCTTATCAGTATTGTACCGAGATTCTCAATGTCATTTTGATTACTTCCAAGAACAGCTATATCATCTGCGTATCCAAGGATTTTATTATTCATTCCGACGTGGACACCTCCATTTATCTGTGATGTTGTTCTTATCACCTTCTCCAGGGCTGAGTTGGACAACATCGATGATACTCCATCTCTCATGACGACATTTAGGGTCATTCTTACAAGCCTTTATGTTTACGTCAATAAAATATCTAAATGTATCTATTCTGTAGCATTTTTCTAAGATCTAAAGTAACATGTATAATGAATTTCAATAAGCTAATTGGTAACTGCAAGACTCAACGTGCTAGGAATCGAAACAACAATACATTTCACCTCAAACCCAGCTCTTTTCCTTTTCTGCTGATGACCTTAACGCTCACTTTGTCTCTGTCCCTTCTCATCCTCATCTCCCGCGGCTATGCCGACTCCTGTGTGTTTCCCTATAAATTTTAATCCTGATCAATTATTTTTTTTCCCATATTATGATTTCACAATGATTTCCGTCCAATTTCTCTCCTCTCAAATCTTTCCAAACCTTTAGAGCGACTAGTTCAAACCCAGGTATCCGATTTTTTAGAACAGAATAACCTCCTAAATCCCAACCAGTCCGGTGTCCGGCCTGGCTACTCCACTCAATCTGCCCTCATCAAATACGTTTTGTTTTCCTCATTTAAATCTCTCCTTTTTAACCACCTACTCCTTTCCCAACCCGATTGATCATGAAATGTAGATAAGAGAACTTTCAAAGTTCCCCCAGAAATGATTTTCTTTACTTATGCTATTTTATTTTCTCACGTTTATATTGTACATATCAGTATGTTTTTAGTGTAATAGTTCTATTTTTTGTTTTATTCTTTTTTCAAAATCTTAATCTTAATAATAATTGTAAATAATTAATTTTATGTATGACCACACAGCCATTTATTCTGTATCTGTAATTTATCCTAAAGGGACAACAGTCCCAGGATAATCAAAAATATTTTTCATTTCATTTCATTACAATTTGAAACTTATATGTGTATAACAGAAACGTGGATGTACGTTATAAATGTATTAAATTTACTTTGTTTACTGCGTTTTAGGTTTTGATCATGTCATAATTATTATTTCCTAGATTAAAAAATCGGATAACTAATTCTACGTAGTTATGCTTTTTTTTCTTCTAGTTTTTAAGAATTTACATTGAACTAATTGTCTGAAAAGAAATCAAGGTGATGATATCTTGATATAAAGTATATACTATATATATACATATATACTATATGATATAAAGTAAGGCTGTGTTATTTCACCATGTTTATTTTTTTCGTTTGGTAAGTTTCAAATATGATACCATTTTCAAGCCATTCGATTTAATATTACTCCTTATATACATCCCATAATTGGGTTATAGTCTCTATGAAACACTTCCATTCTAACCTGAAGTTGTCAGGTTTGTTTAAACCTGTATGGAATAGTTCCATAGGGCCACAATCCAATTATGGACTGTATATAAGGAGTAATTTTAAATAAAATGGCATCATAGCCGAAATGTCGCCAATGTAAAAAAATCTGGTGTGTCTACTCACACGACTTTCCTACCTATTTCAGAAAAGCATTTATATATTTACATATGCCCATCAAGAAAAAAAAAAATTGAATTAGATTTATTTTCCTGAAAATTGATCAAAGAAAAGATTTGAGTACGATTTATTTGATAAACTAAAGCAATGTAAACCGGCTTAAGATAGAGTAGTGTAGAAATTTCAATACCCTCTAATATTGCTGATCAAAAACGTTTTGCCATAGCCTAATTTTGTCAAACAATAATTTCTGTTAAAAGTAGAGGAAATTGTGAAGCTTGTGTGATGCGGGCAACAGATTTTCTTACTTTCACTTAGTTTTCTTTTTTCTCTCATTTACCCCTTTCTGACACGACGATATGAACCCGTAATCTTACATTGGAAATTGAATAGCTGTAACTTCGTTAATAGTGGTCCTAAATGATCGATTTTTATATAGTTTTTAAGATATTTTGGGAGAAAATCTTGGCACAGACAGACCAATGGCTAAAAATGTATGTTTCGGGACTCAGGTGGCTCTGAAACGTATAGATCCGTCGCAAACGGTATATCAGAAATTTGACCCGATCGAAATACTTTTCTTACCTAGATTAGATAGGAAAGTAATAAATTAAAATATAAAATAGAATAAGCTGTATCATCGCTGATACTGGTTCGATTCCGATGATTTTTTTTTCTTGGTAATTTAATTCTCTTTCAAACGTTTCATTATAAATTTTATCATAGAATATATACTTAGCGAGTTAGGCCCCATAACATTTTTCTTTTCCTTATACTATTTTTTTTCCAGAATTTTCTCGGGTATTTAGTCTATATGCTCAAATTTTAAGAAAAATTATTAGAACATTATAGGAAAGTTTCATCAAAATCGTTAGAGCCAATTTCGCTCTACAGTCTATAGCAAAACATTTTTTTCATTTATTGCGCATGGAGCATCCAATCAGTAGTCAAAATCCTACGAAATAAAAAAGAAGCAACAAAATTTGTTCACTAGTTCCCGAGAAAGTCTTGGCACTAGTGTTGCCCAAAATCGGTCTTGGTCTTGCACTTTGCAAGACCAAGATCAAGGCCGCCTAACTGTTGCAAGACCAAGACCAGGACTGGTAAAAAAAATCGATGTTTTTAATAAAAAATTAAGACAAAATAGTTACTAATACTCGACAATCTTAGTTACTATATGTAAATAATTGGTATATCCAATATAGTTTTGCATTTAATTCCTCTAATTTCTCATTCAGGCTTCTCCTATCTACAAAATACAGTACTTTAAGACTGTTGCGAGACTCTTGTGCAAGACCAAGATTATGACAAAACTGAGTTTGCAAGACCAAGACTCGTTTGGGTCTCGCATTTGGGCAACACTACTTGGCACAGACAGATAGACAAACCAATGGCTTAAAATATTTTTTTCGGACTCAGGGGGCTCTGAAACGTATAGATCCGTCGAAAACGGCATGTCGGAAATTTGAACCGATCGCAATACTTTACTTACGTAGTATATGTAGGAAAGTAAAAAATAAACATGGTGAAATAACACAGCTTTACTATATATTATTAAATATAATTTCTCCTAAAACTAGATGAAATCAAGGTGTATCTTAAAAACGACAAACGTACTTACTTTTTAACTTGTCAAATATTTTGGCTGCACTTGTGACATACATGAGGATACAACAAATAAAAAGAACTTAGCAAATATCTTCTTGAACCTGTCTTTTAGATTGTTGAAATTGGGAAGATGGATGCAAAAAAATGTTTCTAAATCAAAAGTATCAAGCTCACCTTTCACTTTTGCTTCTCGCACAAGTATCTCTATCTTTTTTCTTTTTCTCCTGGACCAATGCTGGTTCTTGGCCCTAATTTCCTATTCGCATAAGTAAGGTGGGAATTTAGAGAAGCCACTTTCGCGCTTGTGAATCGTCACATTTTCTCTAATCATAAGTCGAATAATTTATTCTTTTTAAGATTTCCTTCACAAGTTGATGATGGAAAAGTGTAAAATGTTCACAATTATGAGAACAGCTTTATACAACGGTGTTTAATCTTGTTATAGAAGAGTTGATTACCTATCCTCCTTTGTTTCATTGGTCATTCATCTAAATGGCAATTTCTGTACGAAAAATTAACTCACAGGAGTGTTTTTGTTCGTTTAGAGTAGTTGTCCCGTAAGTTATGGGAAATATTCAAAGAAATTGTAACAGACTTTTAGAACTTCATAAAAGTATATATGTTCCGATTCTCAGATTTTTATATATTTTAAGTAAGCCATGTTCTTTTGTTTAACTAGGTTCCATAACTAAAACTATATTAAATTTATGGTTTTTACCGAGTAAGATGGACAAAATTTACTTCGAATGGAAGTAGAACTCTTCTTTGTTAAAAATAATGGTGGCTTTCAAACGCGTAATTTATGTTTTTCATAAAATCATGGATTATTATTATCTGACTTCTTTTGGGCTATAGATATCCTTCTTTTAGAGA